GTGCTGGGATGCTTCTCTTCATGCTGTGGGAAAAGCAGGAGAGCTACAGGAAGAGGGTAATGGTGGGGCATGGTTTACCTTCACAACCAAGTAGAAGAACTGCACACTTTGTTTTCATATAAACTTAGGTTTTATACAACTAATGTCTCTGTTTTACTGTTGTTTGTCTTTATAATGAGTATTTTTGTTCTTCTTCTTGATCATTTCTGATGAAGTTTTCTGTGTTGAGTGCTTTGATACATCGTTCACCAGGAGCTAACGGCTAGTGAGCTGAGCTCCTTTAGCTGTTTGTTTCAGTTCAGTTATCTTCCTGATCCAAAGCTTTTCTTCATGATGACGAGATGTAGGCTTGGACCTTCATGTACGCTTCATTCTTTGGTTTTTCTCTTTCAAAATAAAATCACTACAATAAAACAATCACTTTGTTTTAGCTGTCTGTTTTATAAGCCTAAAAAAAGTCAAATCAAACTAATTATAAACCCACACAGTGTTTCAGTTTTGGTTGAGCTATCCAAATGTTATATAATCCAAAGTTAAATAAGCTGTTTTAATATGTAGCAAAGTATCGAGACTAGAAATGACCAAAGATGCTCAATAAGTTTGAAATGGCTGAAAGTCTGGGTTAAAGCACATTTACCACCTTTATTTAACAGTGTAACATACTTTTCATTAGATGTATTTGAATGTAATTTTGCACTATTGTAGTTTTGTTAGGGATTTAAAAAAACAGTAGCGGCTAAGGTAGTGTCGGTAAACTGTTTCCTGTTAATACTTTCAAAATAAAACCATTCTTGCTTAAATAAAAATAATAGACTGCAAAAAACGGAAACCAGTTCTACAGTTAGGACTGTGTTTGAACCCGATTCTTCATAACTTGGAATATAAAAGATATTTTGTTCAAGGACAGATCATCAGCTCTCCTTCAAACGTTTCCACGGTGACAAGTGAAAACAAACGCTCCAGGAGTTCATGAGGTCCGGTTCAGACAGAAATCTAAATGATGTGCTATCAAATTAAAAGCCTGTCTTTGCTACAAAAATATAGATTTTTATATTTTGTAATTGTTGGTTAATTAGTTTAGTTAAAGAAAACAAATAAAAAATAAAGATATTAAATATTTTTTCTTGTTCTATTTTGAAAGAGAAAAACCAAAGAATGAAGCGTACAGTAAAAACCAAAGAATGAACCGTACAGTAAAAACCAAAGAATGAAGCGTACAGTAAAAACCAAAGAATGAAGCGTACAGTAAAAAACCAAAGAATGAAGCGTACAGTAAAAACCAAAGAATGAAGCGTACAGTAAAAACCAAAGAATGAAGCGTACAGTAAAAACCAAAGAATGAAGCGTACAGTNTGTGAAAATATTTATGATGTCCTCCTTTTTTATTTAGCATATTATTTTTAAAAATCCTTCATTTTATGAAAAGACCCTCTTGATTCAATAGAAAACTGTGTTTTTGAAGAAAATGTCTGCTTATTAATTAACTGTTAGTCAATCTATAAGATAAATCAACTTCAGACAACTACACATTAATCAATAACTTACATCCCTAATTTATACAGGAATTAATCTATTCATATTTATGTACTGAAGTGTTTTAATGATTTGGCAGATTAATCAAAGAATAATGAACAGATTAATGGATTATTAAAATAATTGTTATTTGCAGCCTTATTTTATAGACGTCTTTGATTATCATCTAATCAACAGTTTGTCAAAAGTAAAGTCCAGTAAGCATGATGCGTGTTTCCACTCACTGTGTTTCAGGCTGCGATGCAGTCCTCCTCCTCCTCAGTGACAGTCCCTGCCCTGGAGTGGGCCGGACCCTCTGCCATCCCCTCTCTGCTGCAGGAGCAGCTTGGTGTTTCCCCTCTGCCTGTTGATGCAGAGACACTGTCACACCTGAGCCTCCCCACATCTGCCAACAGTCTGCTGCTCATCAGTCTGCCGTACTGCAGCAGGTGAGTTTATTTTGATTTAACAGTAATCAGTCCTGTGTTCTGAGTCACAGCTTTTAACATCTTTAATATTTCCTTCTTTCTTTTTATAGTTCACCCAAATCCTGCAGGGAAGTCCTAAATCATAATGGTACTGTTTACTCAAAAAATATCTAATTCTGTGTTTTTGCTGGTAGTTATAAATGTGTTTCTGATGTATTTTCTTGTCATCAGATGAGATCATTGGAAAAGTTGTGAGTTTCCTGAAAGCCAAACATGTTCCATACACTGCGATATACACCGGACTGCAGCCATCAAGAGTAAGAACTCATCCTTTTTAAATAATTACATAAAAACATTAAACTTCAGAAACACTGGAAATTTTTAGTTAGTTTATTTCAAACATGTAGGGAAAGAAATCAAAACAAAAATGATAAAAAGTAATAATGAAATATTTGAAAAGAATGGGAAGAAGT